GATAGCTGGAAAAGAAGAAGCCAGAAGTGAGATCAACAAGCGAGAAGTGCGAGAAACGAAACTATTAGCATAGAAGTTACAGTTATATCTAAACATTTAATCTGTAAAATGATGATACCTAACTGCCAATGGAGTACTCCGCGTCAAATCGTAAAGTTCAGGTAACAAGGAGGAAAGCTCATCAGAAAAATTACCATGAAAATATTTATAGAAAAGGCACTGAGAAGCTACGATGCTGGAAAAGCGACCGAAGCCATGATGCCAGGTCAGAATCGATAATATTTCAGATTCTTCTTTGTATTTTATCAAGAATTTCTAAATACATAGCAGAATCACTGGACCAGATGTGTCTAAAATGATAGAAGAAAGATTCTAGTGTGAAAAATTGTCTTGGACGATATAGTGAACCAATTTGAAGAAGAAGTTTTTTGGAATTCCTTTTGGAAAGGTGTTTCAGGAAACTACGAGTTTGAAAAGTCTTGAATTTCTTGTTGTAAATGAAGAACCTTTCAGCAACTATTACTATTTGTAACAGTAATATATATATATATATATATATATATATATATATATATATATATATATATATATATATATATATTCAGATATTGGAGGCTTTCTACATTAAAACAAAGCAACCCACACTCAACAAAATTACATTTCAAACTAGTCACAACACATTACATTGCATCTAGAAATGTGGTTAATAGTTTGTCCTCTCGCATGTTATGACGTCATAGAACCACATCTTGAACTTACGACCAGCGTCTGCTATTCCGCGACCGTTATCGTCGCATAGCAATCTTCTATGTCAACATAACAAAATATTCTCTTCGATGGTAAATGTCTTTGTTAAAATATCCGTATAACCCCTCTGAAGATGGCGCGCGTGAGCCGAAAGCACAGATGAAGGATCAACTTAATAAAAATTACCGAAAATTTGGACAATTTTGTCTTTATTTTCACCCGGAAACATACGAACATTAGAACGGTTCATGATCAGACATAATAGACATTCACTGTCTGTTATATTTAACAATATATATATATATATATATATATATATATATATATATATATATATATATATATATATATATATATAAATAAAAATAGAAAGAACAGATGGAGTAAAAACCCGCTGTCCATAGAATTTACTTTTATAAAAGTGCTCAATACAAAGACAAAGTAGAGCAATATATTATTATTATTATTATATTTTTATTTTAAGAGATTATTAATAAAAACATTTTGAAATCGTTACAAAAAAGCTTTCATGTTTCAATATTATGATTGTACTTCTTCAGGCGATGGTAATTTACTGGCAATTAAATGATTTATATTTTTATTATTATAAGTAATGATAATAGTATGGAAACATGAAAGTTTTTGCGTAGCAATTTCAAAATGTTTATATTATAATATCGTTTATTATATATATATATGTATATATAATTTATTAATATAAAATAAAACCACTAATCCTTGTTTATTTTAAATATAAAATATAAATTCCGTCTGTTATGAATACAAATGTATTTTTTATAGTTTTAGGTCCGTTTATTTTAATACAAGTTTAAAAAATATCCTTAATCCCCATTTATTTTAAGTATAAATCAAAGCCATAAATCTCCATTTATTTTAAATCTAGAATATAAATCCTGTCGGTTTTAAATACAAAATTTTATTTTTATTTAAAAACAAACAAACTATAATTTCATTATAATATATGAAGTGTATCAGCATTGCCTTAAACAGATATTTTAAATTATGTAACGATCTCTCTCTACTCAGCACCTGAGGATTGCACTGTGCATGAAACTCTGAATCAGGCTACTGGTGAAAAAGAATATATATATATATATATATATATATATATATATATATATATATATATATATATATATATATATATATATTTTAAAAAAATTTTAAAAAGTGGTTTAAAATTATTCATACAGCCGATTCCAACAATCATTTGAAGATTTTGGAATCGGTCTGCATAGGATTAAGGAAACCTTCTCTCTGTCGGCAGAAAGAATTTATAAAGTCTCTTAATCTGTTGGGGGATATTTTATTTTAACTGTCCCTCGCTAATTTATTTACACGTTATTTCCCCTCCCCTCGTTACAAATATATACACTTGTTTGTTATTTTAGTGTATTTTCCCCCTCTTTTTGCTCTTCATTGTCGTTAATATTCTTTTCGTTGATCCAACGATTGTCTCCTGATGAGATGTTGGTTGAAAGGGACTTAGAGACTTTTAAAATTAAAATCAATACATTCCTTGTTTTTAAAACTATATATAAATTTTGTACCTCTAAACATTTGTTTATATAAATATATATATTATATATATATATATATATATATATATATATATATATATAGTCAAACCTAGAGAGCCAGACTAACCTACCAAGGTTTCACCTAAGCGGATCGTTAGGGAAAGCTGACTAGGTCTGCTCTACTTTTGTATTGAGCACTTTAAGTTAGTTGATAAATCGTATCGGGATTTTTTTCTTTGGGCTTTGGATCTGTATACGGTTTCTTTTTTTAAAACCATTTTTTCCTTCGAGATTGATTTGACCATTAGCAAATCAAGAAACCGTCAAGAAACTGTGTAGTCATCCACAGACAGACTGTTTTGCTGTATCACAGCTCCTCAGTGTGGCTAGACATCTGATTGCTATAAACCGGGATCGAAACCCAACTGATCTTACCCCTAGGCCATCGTCGCACAGCAGAAAGGAAGGGAATTTAAACATTTTTCTCTATACGAAACACTCTAGCGACTCGGATAACTCAATTCAGTTTGCTTGAAGAGTAATATATGGATAACTTATGGTGTGGTTTTTGTTATTTGGTGCAGTTCTTTGTTTGAGATTCTGTAGCACCAGTCCACAATGTTTGAAGAATGATGGTTTCCGACAAGACCCATATATTTCGCTCCTTCGAGGCCATTTTAAACATTATTCTTAGAAGGCTGTTTTACAGTGCTGACATTTTAGATATTTCCGTGCAGGTTTGATGCCATACTTGATATCCATATGAAAATCTCGATCTGACGAGGCTATTTAAGAACATGTCGAGCTTTACAGGTTAATGTTTTAGTTCCGTAGTGAAACTACATCTGACGAATCTTATTCTCTGTTTAATTTCCTTTTCTCCTATAATAAATTTGTTATAACAGATCCATACGACGATGTATTTGAAGAGTTTAGTATTTACTAATTCCAACCGTTGTAAATATTGCTGATAATTGTTGACGGCACGTCTAAACTGGTATATTTATAGTAATTTCCCAAGCGTAGCTTAGATATGGCACAAGGCCGAAAGTATGGGGCACCCAGTGAGAATCGAACTCACTATTCAGTCGTAAGGACACATGGCACAGTGGATAAAAGCGTTGGTTAGATCCAGTGAGGACCCAGAGAGTTGTGAGTTCAATACCTGGTTAAGGCAGTGGAGAACTTGAAGAGGTGAATTAACAGGAAATAACTGATAAGTGACATCCATTAAACATGGCACGTGGAACTTCTATCCCCAGCGAGCGAAATAAAGGGTTCAGTTCGACATTCCAACCACCTGAAGAAGGCCGGAGTGTATAACGGTCGAAACGTTGTGATAAATATGGCAACAAAGATGAAGACAATAGTCCGAATAATGTAAATAGTGTCAGTCGTAACTGTTTTAATGAGACAAGTTTGCTAATTATTACACCACGCCGAGGTGTCTAAGCTGGTATATTTATATATAAGAAGAATACGTCTCTTGTTCTTCGTTCTTATTTACAGTGGACGTGTGTCTGTCGTCTTGCTTCCGCAAAGTCTTAGATTTCGGTCGAAGACTCCAGGAAACAACAAACTTCCTGTTATTCTTTTTTTAGATATCGGTATGATTTTTGACGATGATATTACTTTCTTTTATTCTTTCACAATTATCTTTTTTGTTTATCTGGCCTCCCTGTCTTATTATAATTACTGCCAATGTTTGTTTTCGTTTCCTTTAAGTTCAGGCTACAGACTGACAAACAGTATTGCCTCTTGACACTTTCATAAAAACCTCGAGGAAGCCCGATTCCATGTCAACGTCATGTTTTGCTCATTTACTTCAATAAAGAGAGAATTGTACACAATCGACGCCCTTTCCTGTTCTCTGACCTTAAACAACGTATGTCTTTTCATTTGATTATTGCTTCGCTGTATTATTTTAACCCTGTCCTTACGTTTCGTATTTATTTACAAAACATACCGTAAGTTATTTAGCAATAACTTTAAGATCGGAATTAGTCTCTGTTTCAAGTTGCATTCATTTTTTTTTTTCCTTTTCTGCAAACACTATTCTGAGATCTGCAAGTTGTTGGATTTTAAGCACTCCCTTTTATCACGTTCAACCTTGTCCTTTAGACCAGATAACGCTTATCCTCTCACTGTATTCAAAACATCAGTTACAAAAGCCTGCTTAGTAATATCGCATAGAACTGATCGATTTTTTTGTCGACTTTTATATGCCCTGTCCTTTCTGTAGGTGGACTACCGGGACTCTACTAAACTGTTGTTCTTAGAAACAAAAAATTTCGGAACAGCTTGAGGTTGAACTGAACTACACATTTGCAATGGATCATTAAATTAGCTCGTTAACCATTCCTTGGCGTTCAAGCGCTCTAGTTTATGCGTATATTTTTGTAGCGTTTTCTGACAAAAATTTAAGAAAAGTGCCTTCACTCCAGAGGGCGTAATTAGAACGAGGTTGTAAATATATATTGAAACCAAAATGGCGGAAGCAAAAATATAATTTGACAAAATGACACTTTCCAAGAACTTTTTATTCTCATTTTCATAATATTTTTCTATTTTACTTTTCTTTCTTTCTTTCTTTCTTTCTTTCTTTCTTTCTTTCTTTCTTTCTTTCTTTTGTTCTTTCATTTTCTTGAATTTTCCTTTTCATCTTTTTTCTCATCACATTAATCGATTCTTTCTTTCTCTTTTTCTTTCTTTATGGCAATCATTTCTTACGTTTCCCTTTATCTCTCTTTTCAACGAATTAATCACTTCTTTCTTTTTTTCTTTCTTTCATTTTTCTTTCTTTCAATCATTTTCTTGTCTTCCCCTTTTCATTTTTCTTCTCAACACATTCATAAATTCTTTCTTTCTTTCTTTCTTTCTTTCTTTCTTTCTTTCAAAAATTTTCTTACGTCTCCCTTTTCCTTTTTCTTCTCAAAATATTCATCTCTTTCTTTGTTTCTTTCTTCGCTCACATTTTTCTTTCAATCATTTTTTTTTTCATGTAATTCTCTCAGTAGCTTTATTCGTTCTCACTTAGTGTAGTCTTGCACAAGGCTATAATAATGGCGGATCCGCTGGCGACGAAACAAACCACTGAACAATTGCCGAATGGATTAAAACATTAGCTCGAGAATTTGGTGAAACAGCAATTGTGAGTTCAATCCCTAGGCCAGCCAGTGAGTACTTCGACTCAGTGGAAAAGTGGTAGGTAATAACTGAGCAGTATTTGGTTGGTTTCGTTTAGCGGCATATCAATCTCTATCGATTATTTAATGTCAAAATCTTAATAATCTGAACACAATTTTAGGGTTCAAACAAATATATTTTGAATGCAGTTGTATACATTCAACTACAGATAAAATGTATTGTCGGTCATTTTGTTTTAAAAAAATGTAATGTTGGTCATTTTACTACTAATCTGCATTGTTGGTCCTTTTTTATGTAAAAAATATATTACTGGTATTATTTACTATAAAAAATGAATTTTTATACTTTCATAGTGTTTTTATTTGTGAGTTCACTATTTGCCCATAACTGGGATCGGGCCAGGAGGAATCCGGGAAGAGTAAAAATTAAAAGATAGTTTAACGCTTCTGTAAACCTCCAATCCCCCGATCAGAGGCATTGTTGAGCAGTATTAAATAAGAACAAGACAAAACATTCTTAGACATGGTCAGCGGAAGAAGAACACTTTAATCCCTTAGATTAAATAAAGGGTTCAGTTCTAAAACACCTGAAGGTTACTAGGATCGGCAAGCACTTGAAGAAGGCCGGAAGGCAAAACGGCCGAAACGTTGTGATAATAACTCCCATTCATTCTGATCTTTTTTTCTGCTTCTATTTTTCTCGCTCTCACTACTTCTTCTTCTTTCTTTCTTTCTTTTCCTTTTTTTCTCAACACATTAATCAATTCTTTCTTTCTTTCTTTCTTTCTTTCTTTCTTTCTTTCTTTCTTTCTTTATTTTGTCTCCGTTTTCCTATTTTTCTCAACACATTAATCAATTCTTTCTTTCTCCCTTTCTTTCTTTGTCGTCTTTTTCCTCTTTTTCTCAACACATTAATCAATTCTTTCTTTCTTTCTTTTTTCTTTCCTTTCTTTCTTTCTTTTCTTTCTTTCTTTCTTTTCTTTATTTTCTCCGTTTTCCTTTTTTCTCAACACATTAATCAATTCTTTCTTTCTCCCTTTCTTTCTTTGTCGTCTTTTTCCTCTTTTTCTCAACACATTAATCAATTCTTTCTTTCTTTCTTTCTTTCTTTCTTTCTTTCTTTCTTTCTTTTGTCTCCATTTTCCTCTTTTTCTCAACACATTAATCAATTCTTTCTTTCTTTCTTTCTTTCTTTCTTTCTTTCTTTCTTACTTTCTTTCTTTTGTCTCCATTTTCCTATTTTTCTCAACACATTAATCAATTCTTTCTTTCTTTCTTTCTTTCTTTCTTTCTTTCTTTTGTCTCCATTTTCCTATTTTTCTCAACACATTAATCAATTCTTTCTTTCTTTCTTTCTTTCTTTCTTTCTTTTCCTCTTTTTCTCAACATATTAATCAATTCTTTCTTTCTTTCTTTCTTTCTTTTGTTTCTTTAATTTTTTTCAAATCCTAATAGAAATAATAGAAACAATCAAATTAGCCGCACTGAAATATATTTAAGCGAGACTTGCTTACACATTACAACGTTGTAATATATTGTAACACATATTCTCACAGAATGTCATACACACACATATTCATATGTATGTTGCATATTGGGGCAGCAACCCTTCTGTTATGCATGTTTCATAGAATTTGACAGTCAAGTAAATTTTTTTTTCTTCTATTTTTTTTTGTAATGTTTTTACAGTTTTCCTTTTAGTGGTGTCTCAGAGAGTGTAGAACTTTTCCATAAAGAATATTACGACCACATCACTTCGAAACATCGCTTGCTGTACGATCACCAAAGTTAAGCAACGTCGAGCGTGGTCACTGTCTTGATGGGTGACAACTTGGGAATACCAGATGTAAGCTTGTGTGTGCGGGTGGTGTAATGGATAATGGCTTGGAATTGTTAATCGGAGAGCCGAGTTCCAATTCCCGTTGGGTTCGTTATATTCACTTACACGCAAATACCCTTACGAAAGGTATGAATCCACCTCTTTTTTTTTTCATCAGATATGGGTTAACACAAAACCGTTATTATCTACACCCACCAGAAAAAAAAAATCTTTTTACAATCTAAACATATATTTTGGCTTTAAATAACGTACAAAGGGTTGATTAGCCGGAGAAAATGAAGCAATCAATAAATCAGTATTGCCTCAAGCGGTTTCGATCAATACATTAGCCATTTTCAACAGATTTGTTGTTAATATGTTTTCATGTGTTTGTGTTCTACCTGGAGTCTCTCTGCCTTTCTAACTGCATCTTATTCTTTCTAGTGATCTATACACGAAGAATTATGGTATATATTAGCTCCAAACTCTAAATAACATTGTTAATTTATGCGCTTCCAAAAATGGCGGCCCTGTAATAGAAGATAAAAATTCATAAATTCGCTGTATAGCTTTGTATAAAATCTAACTTATAAATTTGACTCATAACTTGTTAATAAACAATTTTTTTTTTATTGTGAGTGAGAGTTTATTGAAAGTTCGCCTACACTTATCATTTTCAAAATACGTTATTTCTTTTTCTTTAAAAAAATATCCGGTTAAATAGGGAAAATAGTGAAAGCAATATGTTTGTTTAATTTTTTTTCTCGAATCACGAGAAATGTTCAACCTTGTAACTACATGTCACCTTCAAATCATCAGCTCCTCATCGAAATCCCACGCACGAAGCACGCATCACGATCCTAACAGAATGGGCTTGTTGAACTTGAAAAAATTGAAATGAAAAAGAAGCGAAAGGAATGATAAAGACGCCAGCGTTATAGCAACGGTTAAATCAAACCAAATGAAAAGAAGGATTGGAAAAAGAAAGGATAAACGGATGAAGGGAATAACAATTCTTTAATTGAAGAAAAAAGAAACGAAAAGAAGCGGGTAGATGAAAAATAACGGAAAGAAGAGGAGGGAAGCGAAAATAAAATGGATAAATGAAAGATAAGGGAAAACAAATGTAGACAAAAAACACAAAGAAAGAAGAAAAAAAGTAAAATGTCTGAAGACAAACAAGAAACAAAAAGCGAGAGTGAAGAATAAGATGTAAAGATGGAGGGTACACATTGAAAAAAGAAAGAAAATGAAGATGGATAAAACAAATATGAAGAAGAAAATGTGAAGAAAAATCAAGAAAAACCGGCAAATAAAGAAGAAAATAAGAATAATAAGATGAGGAAAATACGAAAAGAAAGTGAAAATTGTAGAAAAAAAAGGTAAAGTGGAAGCAGACGGCATAGTTGAAAAGAAGAAGAAGAAGAAAAAGAAAAAAGAAGGGAGAGACAGAGCGAGAGAGAAAAAAAAGATGAGAATGAAATGAGGAAGAAGACGAAAATAAGTAAAAAAAAAGTTATAGAAACGTATGATATAGTTAAAAAATGGAAGTAGGAGCAACTTACGAGGATGAAATGAAGAGGAAAAAAAAGGAAGAAAGAAGAAATGAATGAAATAAGGAAAGAAGAAAAAGAACAAAAAGAAGAAAAGAGGAGTAGGGAGAGGAAGACAATAAGTTCAAAAAAAAAAAAAAAAAAAAAGGGTCGAGAAATAGGATATATATATTAATAAAGAAGTAAAAACAACTGATGTGAATGAAATGAAAAAGAATAAAAAGGAAAGAAGAAGAAGAATAAGAAGAAGAAGAAGAAGAAGAAGAAGAAGAAGAAGAAGAAGAAGAAGAAGAAGAAAGATGTAGGGGAGAGAGAGAGAGAAATAGAAATAGAAGAAAAACATGAGAATGAATTGTAGAAGTAGACAATAGAAAATGGCAAAAAGGAAGTCAAAGTAAGAAAAGAAAATCGAGAAAAATGAAGAAGAAAACGAGAAAGAGAAGAAGAAAGTGATAGAAAAAAAGAAGGGGATCAAAGGAAGAAAAAGCGAGTAGAAGATGGACGTGAAGAGGGAAGAAAGTTAGAACTGAATAGGTATTAAAAAGTAGAAGTCAGAGGAAGAGGAGCAGTAAATGAAAAAAAGTAAAGAGGGAAAAGTGGGTTGTGCAAATAGGAGAAGGAAAGTCTATAAGGAAATAGAATATTAGAAAAAGAGAATTCAATAGGAAACATTTCAAGTAAAGATTTTTTAAAATAAGCAAACAGGAAGAAAATATGAAAAATTAAATAAACAAAATATCAAAACTTGAAACGATGATGTTTATTTGCAGAGGTGTTGTCATATTTGGCGACTGTCGCTTCTCTTGACGGATAGGTGAGGAAAGGGGCAGAGTGTGAAAGAGAAATGAAGAGGGGGGGAAAGCGAGAGAAAGAGAGTGAAAAAGTAAAAGAGAAAGAAAGAAAGAAAAGCAATAATTGTTTATTTTTTTAATCTTTGGAGAACTTTGCAACACTTGATAGATTGAAGTGCTCAAGCTAGGAGGAATAATAATAATAATAATAATAATAATAATAATAATAATAATAAGTTCCCGCCAACGCAAGTGAGAAAGAAAAAATATTTAAAATCATCTATGTGTGTTTAAAGGTACACAAACACAAGTACACACACGAACTCAAACACAGACATACAAGCACATGGAGAGACATACACACGCAAAAGAAATTCACATAGCAAGACATCCACAAGCATACACGAGCACAAAACTCACTTTATTTCTCTCTCTTTCTTTCGCTTTTCTTATTTTCTCTCTTTCTCTCTCTCTCTCTCACCTTCTTTCACACACATGCAGAATGCAGACGAACACATAAAGACGTCCCACACACGCACATAAAGACGCAACATATGCTCGCAGAAAAAAAATCCCACGCGTATACTCACAGGCAAATAACATCACGAACTGAGATACATCACACAAAAAGCCTTACAAACACACAAACATGCACACGCAGGTGCACAGAGACACGTATATACACTCATTCACAGACAATCGGACACACACACATTGAAACACACACACACACACACACTTAGAGGTTTCCTTTTCATGAGTTGCTATAGGTAGATCTGTCTGTATTAATAAAGTATTGAATTATTGAATTAATTTAAAATAGTTTCAGTGTCAATTTTTCAAAAGTCTCTAATTGCCTAATCTATCTTGCTGCTTAGTGGTAATATTAGGGTTGATGGATTTTAGGTACCCTTCCCTCTAAAAACAATGGATAATATGTACTAATGGATTAAATAATTTCAACATTCTGGCTTAGTAGGAATTAATTATTTTTAAATCGATATCACCCCATGCAAAGCAGTAAAGACGCAAGGGGTTAGAGGATTTGGAAGAATTAGGAACAGAAACATTAATAATGAACGGGAAGAGAAAAGATTAATCAACAGGACAGAAGATAGCGATTGAAATAGCATTTTAATTTTTTGCAGATTAAAGTTGGCTGGAAAGGATGGAGCCGTAAGGAAGTTCCACAAAGCGGGAAATGCGAGAAAGTAAAAAGAAAAAAAAATTTGTTTTTTGTTCGATCCATGCGATTAAAGAAAAGATACCAGAATAAATATTAACGGCTTTTTTTTTTTAAATCACTCATTTTCTTTGTACTATAATCACGAGAAACGCCGGTTTAGGGATAGTACTAAGATTCATTATTTAAACATACACACAAATACACAACCACACATTTCATTCTTTCGTTTTCGGATCTGATGAAGCCTTGAATGTCGAAATGCATCATCAAATCTATTTCCAATCAAATCTATTTCACAAAAGTGCTAGAGTGCTCAAAATTTAAAAACATTGTCGGCAATTTTATATCCTAATATATATATATATATATATATATATATATATATATATATATATATATATTATTTTTTTTAACATCGTTTGGCAATGGAACGAGACTATGGATTTTAAGTTTAATTTTCATAATTAAATTTATAAATTTAGTTTCAGTTTTGAAACATGGAAATTTTCCGTGTCGCGATGGAATATTTTAAAAAGAAAATAATTATAAAATGATATATATATATATATATATATATATATATATATATATATATATATATATATATATATGGTACAATTGGAATTAAGATACCATTAGGTAATGATCATTTTCACCCGTGAATTTAAATTATTCGCATAATTTTTCAAAATGTTCGTGATGTAAGTTTGTAGAAGAGGTCTGGTTAATTGGGGAATGGAAAAGAAGAGAGAAGGGGAACGTCAGAAGGGATAGTAAGGAAGACATGACAGAAGAAGGCGTACTTACAGGAAGTAATGGGTAATATTATGGAGGTAGGGTATTATATTATTTAATGGGAGGTACGAAAGATTTTGCGCTGTTTACTGAAAATAAACATTGGTCAGTTTAACATTTAATATTTAAAATTCTATATTGTGTTAAAATACAACGGATTACATATATTTAATGGGATGTTTAAAGCCGCTCAAAGTTGCCGAATTCCAATTGTACGAAAAAGTTTTTCACTGTTTACTGAAAATAAACA